AGGAGGAACCTGCCGGCAACCGGCCCATGGATCTCGCTGCTCCTCCTCCCCCGGTGAGTTCCTGTGGCCAGTTTGTCTCTGCGAAGAGACCGTGTAGTGAAGTTTACTTACAGTGCTGGCAGAGGTTCATGCATTATCACTCTGTGGGCTGTTGACAGGTGGACTTAGGGTCCTTGCTCAGTCTCCCAGGTTTTTGAGGAGGCAGGTGTAGTAAGGCTGATGGTGGCTGGAAGTTCGAGCGAGGCTTTGTGCTTTCATCATGCACCTAATTCTTTCTGTGCCCTGACGTTTGTAACACCTGTGTTCCTTGTCTTCCTAGGTCTTTTGTACAGATAGGTTTCCTTATTAGCAAGTTGTAGTTTGTATTCTTTACAGGTTCACGCGCCTTCCCAATGGCACATGCGTTTGATTTGGGTGAAGTTCTCAAGATTGCAATATTAATTTACCATATGTAACTTTACTGCTCGTCATTTGCACTCTTCTCAGCATTTATACATCTCTGTGACATATAATGGTGCCAGTAGGAAATGTCTTTGCATTCATCCATGCTTCCTCGTTGTGTTCTGTGTAGGGGAATGGGCCGGGCAACAACTGGTGCCTTGATGATATCTGTCTGTCTGCCTGTTATGAAGATGAAGGATCATCTTGACAGTTCTGATGGTTTAAAAAGAGTTGCAGGTGGCTGCATGTGGAGAAGGAAATGCAGGAGGAAATGTTTTGTTGCTTTCCTGTCTTTTGAGGTTGAGCCATGTGAAATGGGGCTACATGTGCCTTGGCTATAAAATACATGTCATGGTAAGAGCCTTGTGTGAGTGCGAGGGGAGAGATTCGAGGTGCAGAGGGAGATGTAAGGAGAGGGTGATTGCCCCTATGCAGACATTCACTCACCCACTGTGAGCATCTGCATACATCCACTGGAGCACTGCTCCTCTTTTGCTTTTGGAACTTTGAGGTTTCTTCACAGAAGGTCAGTGAGCAGAGAAATGTTTCTTCTTCTATACATATATATAAAGATACCTGTGTGACATTGATGTGAAGAGAAAGGGTCTGGGAACCTGAGCATTATATGCCATACAAATTAGATGGGTCAATGAGCACCCTGGATGTTCAGAAGGTTTAGACATTCGAGTCCTGGGAGCTGTGCATGAGAGTCTGTTGAAGGACACAAGGGAATTATTTTCCTGTTCTCTTGTTCTTCACCCACCTTTAGTATTATGCAACATAAACTTTTCCTTCCCAAACTGTTTGCTGGAAGACATGGTATACCAGCCCTGGGAAGTTCTTTGTGTTTTCATGCTGTCATAATTGTGCAACTGCACAGCTTAATTATGGATGTATGACAAAGGTCATGTGGGAGCTTTGGGAAAAGCAAGTTGTGTATTCACTGCTTACTAAACACCTGAATTATTGCCTACTCTTAGCTACATAATCGGGAACAGTGTGTCATGATCTCTTCCTTTCTACAGGTATTTATTTCTTGCTCTTTGATGACCTGAAGTTGGTTCTTTCTCTCTGATAGTGTTACATTTGTCTGCCTGTTCTGTAGGTGCCCTTCCTGTTTACAGCTGGAAAGAGAAAGCCTTTCATAGACATGTTTCTTTCAAATGTCACTGTAAGAAATGCTCTTGCTTGTCACATGCAAAGGGTGAGAAGTCAAAGATTATCCATAGCAAGGAGACGTTGTCTGAGCAACATTTCTTTTTTGAGGGGTGATCTTTCTGTCAATTTTGAAGATCCCTGATGACCACGTGAGGTGTGAAGAGTTTGAGGAGAGTATTGGGTGTGTGTTGTGTGTGAGGAGGTGCTGGTGGAGACATGGCCTGTGTTTTGGTGATTCCCAGGGTTGGAACTTTTCCACCAAAAAAGAAGTCAGAAGGAGTCCTGTTTTTTGATATTGCATGGTTTGGACTCAAATGGCCAAGTTTTGGGTTCAACACATCTTACACTTTGAGTGGTAGAGCTTTCAAAGAGCCCATGTGTGATGTTCCCTTTGAGCTGATACTATGATGACTGGGTTTTAGGTGAGCTGCTGATTGCTTTTGTTCTGTATAACATTTCAAAGTTATTCAAATTATTGGAATGAGCAAAATAATCTTTGTTGTGATGCTTGGGATCTAAGAAGTTGTGCATGCAACTTGCCTGTTTTGTGGTGTTCAGAAAAGAGATCAGTCTGTCCAGAGAAAAGGCTGGTGCAGGAGTTCACACTGCTACAGTGTGAAGTGGCTGAAAGAACAGTGTAAAGCTCCAGTTTGACCCAGCTGTTGGATGAGACCACAGCTGTGTTTCCAAACTCGTTTCTTTTTCCCCTGCCAGAGACATGAGTGTGTCTGGGCTCTGAGCTGTGAGCTCCTGTGTGAGCCTCCTGTGTACTTCCTACAAACCAATTTCCTTTGTGTTCCTCCTACATCTGACATAATCTGAAATGTGAATCTGTGGTTCATACACTTCTGATGGTTTCTCACCCTTGCTGTGTTTTATTTGTTTCTTTGCTTCATGTCAAGGAGTAAAGCTGGGCCTCCTTTTGCCTGGATATCCTGTGAACAAACCAAAAAAATGCTGAGGAGCAGGTCAGATATTGCAGTTCTCCTGAGATAAGAGGAGTTACATAGTATGGAGAAGAGGAAGCTCAAGGGGCACCTCATTGTTCTGTTTGGATGAGGTTTTGATGAGGTTGGATGAGGTTTTGAGTGTTTTAGTTTGGTGGAAAGTGTTCCTGCCCATGGTAGAGCTGGGGATTCAGTGACCTTGAAAGAACCCTTCCAAACAAACTACTTCAAACAGCGATTATAGTGAGGTGGAGGTTGTTCTCTTCTGCCATGTCTTAAGGGAAAGAAGGACAGAAAATTGTCTTAAGCTGTACCACGGAAGATTCAGGTTAGATATTTGATTTTTTTGTTTACTTGTTTCTATGAAAGAGTGATCAGACATTGGAATAACTTGACCAGGGAGGTGGTGGAGTCACCCTCTCTGGAAGTGTTTGGGAGGCCTCTGGATGTGGCACTTGAGGATATGGTTTAGGGGTGATTATGGTAGTGCTGGGCTGAGGGTTGGACCAGATGAGCTTGAAGGTCTCTTCCAACTTTTGATTCTGTGCTTCAGTGTGAAACACCAAAAGACATCTTATAATTGCCAGAGTGGGAGAGAAGTTCTTCTCCCTACCCTGAGTGTGGACATGGCCTAAAAGAAACACTTTGATAAATATATGTTTCCCTAAAATGGGACTGAATGAAATGCTCTTTTTCCTGGAGCTGCCATGTAGTCAGAAGTTGGGTATTGTCCACGGAGCAACCAAAGGGTATGAATGTAGAGACAGGAGATGGAGAGGTTGGATTTGAATGAGGAAAATGGGTGGGTCAGTGTGGGTTTGACTGGTCAGTGGTTTGATTTCATGCCGGTGCTGAGGCCTGTGCCATGTTTCCTTTGATCCAGGTATCCTTATCCTGAAAGGTAGTGAGAGTCCTCCAGCAACACAGCATTTCCTGAAAAACTGTGCACATAGAACCATGATGGATGTGTGGAACGAATTACCTTTCCTATGTGAAAATTTGATTATCCATTTGTGTCTCCACAGAACAGAGTGATGTAGAGTTTCTTCATAGTTGCAATCAGACTTTCTTTCAGGAATTTATTTCCTGCAAGGTCATGGCCTT